ATGGTACTTCAAATGTTTGGGATCCCAAACGATTCAGATCGTCGGATCTGCAAACGAGAGAATGATGAAAATAGTTGAATCTTAAGATATTTAAGATCAATACCAATAAAACATCTGAAAACCTGAGTTCATGAAATCTAAACATCAAAAGATGCAAGTAAATATGATTTGGTCCAAATGCACAATTTTGCCTTCGTTAGATAATGTTCTTAACTTTATCATAACAGAATGGTTTTTTATAAATCTGAAACTGATAAAATAACTAAACTTATCCTTGATCAAATTAGATTTTACTAAAATTTCTATTATAATTAATGAGCCAGCTTTGTTTGAGGAACTATGAAGGCCATATTGCCAAATGTAAATCTTACCAGTCCTAAGTCATTTGTGCTTGCTAATAGGATCGATAATTATGTTCCAAATTTTATTTCATGGGACATCGAGAATGCAGGTATGCCAAAATATAGAAACTTGATAAAATTGCTAACAATACTAAAATTTGTTAATTTGCATAGAATATCTCAAATTTGCGAAAATTAAAGTTAGAATACTATCTAGGAAGATATGCAGAATTATGCTTCATAGTCTTAACCTTCTTCGTTACATCTTCAAATAAAGACTACAATCAAGCAGTTTACAGGCTCCTATATCATCAATCACAAAAGAAATTGAAATACATAATCTACATATCCTACTTTATGCTTTCCTTCTAAAATTGAGTCATTTTATATGATTGTAATACCTCTATAGCTAATAAGAAAGAAATGATAAAATCTTTTTATAATATAAATAATATATAAAAAGAAATTATAAACAATGTAAACCATATCAAGTAATTTGGTTTCGATTCGCTATATTTGATCAAAGCAAACATAAGATTGTAACTTTTGTTTTCCAGATTATAATTCCTTAAAAAATAATGTTTTGTATAAATTCACATGAACCAAAACATATTTAGTTTAGATCATATAAATGTTAACAAATAATGTAAAACAGGTTACTTAATTCAATCCAATTATTCTAAAATATTGCGTATGTTATTTTCAAAATTATTAGATCATGACCAATTTAATATGACTTAACTAAAATTCAACACAATAAATTTGTTATGACTTAACTAAAATTAGAAAAAAAATTGTATAATATTTTTATTTTTGAATTAAATTCAAATAGATATAATATGATTTGTGATGTGTAACTGTTTTTACTTTACGATGCTAATGTGATATAACATACATTACTGTTTTCTTTTAACTATATACAATATTGCCTTGCAATTAAAAAGAGAGAGTAGAAATTAGAGTATCTATAATTTAATTTACGTAAATGATTTTTATTTTTAATAAAGTTGTTGATAACGTTTTCAAAATTTTGGTTGTTAGTGTTTATTTTTAGAGAAATTTCAAAAAATGTCACATTACAAAAATCCCATACTTTTGAAATTTTTACAAAAATGCCACTTTTTCAAAATTATATTTTCTTTATATTATTTATATTTGAGTTAATTATGTTCTATTAGAGTTTAGTTTTGAGTGTTTAGGGGGTTTTAGGTGTCAAAACATTTTTTAGGGTTTAGATTTTTAAGATATATGCTTTATAAATCTATAACTAGTGGTATTTGTGTAAATAGACACCCTAAGTGGCATTCTTAACTAAAATGACTGTTTGTGACTAAAATAGACACAATAAATTTGTTATGACTTAACTAAAATTAAAAAAAAAATTGTATAATATTTTTATTTTTGAATTAAATTCAAATAGATATTATATAATTTGTGATATGTAATTGTTTTTAATTTACGATGCTAATCCCCTTCCTATTAAAAGAGAAGTACAATTAGTGAAAATGATTATTTGTTTTAATTTTATTGGCTCAAAACTATGACTTGTCATGAAAAAATTATGACATGTCTATAGAAAAGGATGACATGGATTGAATCTTTAATTATTTTCTTAATATAAATTTATCAC